TTTTTTATCTTTGATTGTATAAATGAAGTCCACGATTGGCTGCAAGTAGTCTTCAAGTTGTTGAACATACCATTTCTTGTCAAAAATTGGTTCAGTTGAAATGAGGTTCTTCAGCGATACGGAAGAATTTATTTGAATATACAAGGGCAATTCGGAAAGTAACCTCCGAATCGCTGTAAAAAACAAACTAGGACAGAGGGGGGAGGGTTTATTTACATATCAATTTACAACTCTCCTAGATTTTTCTACATTATCTGCCCCATTATTCAAGCACTTGCCCTAACGTTTTACCAATTTACCAATTCCTTCTGTATAAAAAGCGACCGGCTACGATTTAAACTCATGTATCACAGCGTTTTAAAGTTCCTCTTCGTCAGCGAAATGCTGTCCCCCAAGCCACTTCTTCATTGAAGAGATTAAATGGTAATCGGATGAGATTAGCACTCACTACAGACAGCGTTCCACTTCGTGATCCCTCATGGATGTTTGTTCTTCCGTCCTTGAAAAAGCATATCCATTGACGCACTACACTTTCACTCAAAATGTTTGACCCGTATACGGCACATAGATATCCGCTGCTGGTAACGTTTTTTTTTTTTTTTTGGTCCAAAGAAATCTTATCACTCCAGGATTTTCTATAGCGGCACGCATTTTGTCACTTTATAACTAGCAAACTCTTGGCCCTTACGACGCTCTCATTCGCCGACTTGAAGCTTACTGAATCAGTCATTGCTCGTACATTCAATTGACGGTGCTCCGAACAGTACTTTCAGTTCCACACCCAAACGGCGGTTAGTTTCTGAATTGCCAAATAAGACAAATGGAAATATTTTAATAAATATTGATGATAGTTGATTCAATGATTGTAACTAACACTATCACAAATACTTCCTCGGTTGATTGTGATATCAAAGGTTTCTTCTACAGATGTTACTAAAAAATCAACAAGGTCAGCTTTGTTTAAAATATAGGTATATCTCCTTTTATTTGCGCAAATTACGACTCTCCCGAATAAATGAATTTCTTTTTATTTATATTTTGTACATAGTAATTCATTTGTGTAATAAAAATAATAAAAAGAAAAATAATTAATAATATATAGAAATTTAAAGAACACACGGCAATTAATTTTTAATGATATATTTAGTATTGAAGCGATCTCTTTTATGACATCTCAATAAACTTAAGATAAATAAATTAATCACTGATTCATTAAACTTAGAATTTGCATTTTAAATGTACGGTTTATTTGTTTAACTTATTAAAACGATTTTTCAAGTCAGTAAATCTTTATTAAAATAGAATAATATTTATAGTAAAGTATGTGTGTGATAACATAGTTTCTCTCAAGTAAGTTGAAAAAATGTGTGAAATTTTAACGAAATTCTTCCTCATTTTTTCTTCAAAGTGAATGGTGAAGTAAAGCCTGGGCAGTTGATGGCCATTATGGGGGCCAGTGGCGCCGGCAAGACTACATTGCTCAATGTTCTGACCAACAGAAATCTCCGTTTGTTGGATGTTCAAGGCGAAGTACTGATCAATGGACAGAGTGTTGGAGAGTCCATCACCAAACTGTCCGCTTATGTCCAGCAAGATGACCTTTTCATCGGAACTCTCACAGTCAGGGAACATTTAGTCTTCCAGGTGAGTTGAATTGCCGGTTTCTTCATAATGGAAAATTGAATGTTTTCGATTTTTAAGATAGTATAAATTTATTTCTTATTCTTTAACTTACAATCAAGATGGAAGTGTTAGGAATCTATCCGTTCGAATAAGTTTTGAAATAGAATAAACTAAACTTGTGTTGTCTCTTTTTCAGGCTTTATTGAGAATGGATACAGATTTGACTTATGCTGAAAGAATGACACGAGTTGATGAAGTAATCTTGGAAGTAAGTTACAAATATTAATTAAATAAAACCCTTTTATTTGTATTTTCAAAATTTTCCATTTTCAAAAAGTTTATATATGAATATGTTTTTGCGTGTTTAAAATTGAAATTTTTTAACAAATAAGGAATGATCTTTATTATTATTGTCAGATGTCTTAAATTACTTGTAAAAGATTCTAAGATAGGCAACGTTCTTGACTCATTTTTCTTACCTTTTAATTTTTTTTAAATAGTTTATTCTTAAAACCTAAGAAACTTCAGAAGAAATAATAATTTCAAGTTATTCTGGTTGGGATTTCAAAAATACTCCAATTAACATAATTTTACGTTTACATGGAATAGTGTATGAATCAGATATTAATACTCTATAATTAAAATGATCAAATTTGAACTGCAAAACCATAAGAATAGATTAGACTTACAATACAGATAATTATTAAAATGGACTTAATTTGTTTTCTGATTCTCGTAGTCATTAATTGCGTATGTTTAACATAATAAATGTGAAATGTTTATCAACTGGTGTTAAAAATTCCTCTTTCCATGATTAGAAATTTGAAAAAAATGCTTTATTGAAAAAAAAAAGGAATTTTGAATCCCCCCTTTCCCCTTTTTTTAAAATTGAGAACATTTATAAGCCCGTGCACCACAAAGTATCACATGAGGGCTTACAGAAGTAAGCGTGAAGCACGTATCACAAAGTAATGAAGGAATCCAATTCAAGAATTAGAGATTACAGCAACCATGCCTTCCCCGGGATTCGAACACAGGCCCTACGGCATCACAGTCAGCATCACTAACCACTATACCGGATGGGTGGCTCCCTTTTCCCTTATAAGGAATTTACATCCTTTCTTCCCTGTGACATGCTAGAAGTGTGGGGGAAACTAAATGATCAAACGACATGATGAACTTTAATTACTTACTTATCACTATATTCAACTCAGACACAATTAACACTCTAAATAAGATAACTTGAACAGTCAGAGCACGGAGGTGAAACGAGATGTGTGGGGAGAATATATACAATCATGCAGATCTATCTTTAAGATAACTTTATACAGAGCTTGTTATCTTATGACCACGCTAATAGTTTAATTCCTTAACATGAAGATTAAAGATCACAGTACCTGAGCTCTTGCGGTCTTCTAATCCTTGCGTTTACTTTAACATGGCTCCAACAGTTAAACTAAGCACTTTCTTAATACTACGACTTCTCGCTTCCCAAACTGTTTACGTATACATTTCACTGCCGATTACCTCTTTTCATCTATTCACAATTCACTTCTCTTCCAATTTATTCTCATTTCACTTCTAAACTATTCTCACTTCCCTGACTCTCAAACTCTCGAATACAGAATGCGTATATTAAACTTAATTTGCATAGTCACGCTTTCTGTCTTCGGAGAAACTTGGTTGAAAAAATGTTTCCCTAGAGGTTAATAGAAGGAACCGTATAGAGATCTGTCACACACTTTGTCTTTACTTTTACAAGTAGTAAGCACAGAAAATATACATTTAATGCATAAGACAACAATGCAACAGATTTTCACTCCATCCTCCAATGAGCTCTAGGTTGATACCACTAGCGTCGCAAAGGGCAATGGCTTGGAGTAATACACGCTACGGGGTGTCTGGCTCAGAACTGTGCTTGAAGTAATTGATTTCTAACAGTTTGTTGTGTTACTTGTACCAACTGCAGCTCGAATTTCTGCCACAGACGCAGTACGATGCACCACAGCCGTTCGCCGAATACGGCGGTCTTCCCTCTCAGTAATGCCTCGTAGCGACCCAGAACCCGACTTTCTTGAGGCAGTACCATCCCTTGACTTCTGCTCCCAATAATTATGCACATTCCGGCCAAGTTTTTCTTCAATATCGTGGAAAGAATATCCACCTTTTCATAGCCCTATCACACAACCTTGTTAAAACTCGGTGGCTGTTAATAATAACGTCTTCTTAAAGGCATTCTTGGCTAACATCAACTCAATACGTCAAATTTCACAGACAAATAATGCTCACGAACTTTACAGCGCGCATCTAAAGCAACCCTGATTTGCAAGTTTTGAGTGGCTACTACCAGCGCCACATTTAAGCGCTAAGTGTGAAATTTGAATCGATATCATCTTTTAGATGTATGAACGCACCTATCAAATTTTGTTTATCTAACACAAGCTCTTCTTGGTCTTGGGATTTTTTTCCATCAATGTTTTTATTTAGAAAAAAAAGTATTTTTTTTTAAAAAAAAATATTCTATGATTGTTAAAATTAAATCTCTTAATACGTAAAATTGAAATAAAATTATTTTGCGATTTGTTTCAGCCGAAGTATTTGTAAAATTATGGTAAATAATTTTTTCAGTTTAGTTTATTAATTACGCAAAAGAAAAGAAATTAATGTTGACATCATTCAGCACTTCACTTTCGTTTTTTTTTCTTCTTTTGTAGTTAGGTCTGACCAAATGTGCTGATACTAGAATTGGAGTTGCTGGAAGAGTAAAAGGAATTTCTGGAGGAGAGGCTAAGAGATTAGCTTTTGCTGCAGAGGTAACATAATTTTATGGTACTACGAGTCAAATGAACATTTGCATTGCTTTTTATAAATAAATATAGATCATGAAATATGTCATTGTGTCTAAAGCCGAGAGAGAATTTTTGTGTGATATGTCTTTTACAATTAATGTTACTCATGATTGCTAATTTGAGCAGGAATTCTTGTTGGATAAAATGTTCATTAATTAATTAATTCAATTCTTTTTTAAGTTTTACGACAAATTGTGTATTGATTTTTTCAAATTAAAAAAATCTTTTGGTTATTTTAACGATTGAAATATTTTCAAAATATTCTCCTTTAATGTTTTTTTTTCAATACCTATCATTAGTTCACACGCACACACATTGTTAAAATTTTCAATCGTTAATAAAATACTTTCTATTCATCTATTCAAGTTCAAATACATTTTTTAAACTTGTTATGGATGACACTTGATGTTAATACAGTTTTTTTCAAATATTAATTCATTAATTAAATTAAAAAATGAATAGATAGTAACAAATAAAAATAATAGTCCAACAAGACATATAGAGAGGAAAATTGTTCATTGTGTCCCTGTAGCGCAATGGATAGCATGTTGGATTTCTAATTCAAAGGTCGTGGGTTCGAATTCTACTTACAATGGCCTAATTTCAGGGAATATGATTTCTTTTTTACTGTACTATTTTATTAGAATTTTTAAATTTAATGAATGAATAAATAGTAACAAACAAAAAATAGCCCAACGCCCTATATAGAAAAAAAAATGGAAAATTGCAAGGAAAGACGTTTTCTATTTTGTCAATTAGTATTGTGATTTTGTCATATGTATATGCATATTTATATTAATTAAAATTATTTAATAAAAAGTAACTAAAATAAAATGTTTCTTTGTTGACCGAAGTAGGAATTGACTTAATTTTTTGTATATTACTTGTTTATAATATTAATGCTTTGTCTACGTATATCGAAGACGTTTATACGCATGGGGGTGAACCAGGGGTTTTGAAAAATTCACATTATTTTCAGAGTTACGGTAAATTGAAATAATAATGGTTGTTTTCTGTTAAAATTTCTCTACTCTGATGTGTTAAAATATGAATAAAAAATCCACTTCTATATTATATATTTCAAAATCCTATCTCAGTCCCTACATAGAAATCTTATAGCTATTCATAAGTAAAATATTATCATAGCAACATTTTTCATAAAATGAGAATATTTTAAAGGTATAGTAGAGCGTCGTTTATCCGAACGTTTTACTATCCGGAGTGTCAAATATCCGAACCAGTTTTTTTTTTGTCAACTGCATGTACTGTTTATGAATATGTGTTCGAACAGTGCAGTGCTCTCAACAGTTGTTTCACACGAGGCCAAAAGTGACGGGAAAACACAAGGTGAGGGATATTTGGGGAATTTCAGTTGTGTGGATTTGGTAAACATCTGAGCGGAATATTAGGTCAATTTGTTTCCAAGTAAGGGGATGTATAGGTGCTCTTTTGTTGAGTTGTGAACTGCTATGGCTTTGAATTCAAAACGGAAGTGCAACGTCTTGAACATAGAGACAAAACTTGAAATATTGAACCGTTTCGCGAAGGAAGAAAGCGGAGCGATGAAGGCTGTGGATTTCAAATGCTAAATGGTGACGTGATTGTGACTTCCGTGCAAGAAGAATCCGGCCCTGTTAACGATGAAACGGATGAAGACGAGGACAACAATAAGGACGAAAGTAGTAAGGGTTCATCAAATGCTGACACGTTTTTTGCGTTAAAGACAGCTATAGAGTGGTACGAACAACAGAGTGCTGTCCCATTCTACGACTGCTGCTCAAGAAAATCGGAGACCTTGCAGCGAAAAACGAAGGTGTACAATGGTACAGCGAAAAATAATGGATTATTTTCCACAATAAAGGTAAAACTGCGACATTTTGCACCTATTTTACTTTTTCTTCAAGCACGTTTTCCGCATGTGATGATTTTCAATATTCGTATAGTGTCCGGTTGCATTCGGTTTTCGGTTATCCGAACAGTGTCCTGTCCCAATTCATTCGGATAAACGACGCTTTACTGTATATAATTTTTTCTCTATTTTTTTTTAAAAATTGCATTTAAATAATGTTTTTTATAATAATGTTCTTAAAACAGTTTTACATGTGTGTTCTAATTCAACTGACACTGAATATAAAAGTTATCTATTTGTACACCTTTTCAAGATCATGGTTCTGAATATTGTCACAGTGACCTTACAGGAATATTTATTTTAGGTGCTGACGAAACCTGCCTTGATGTTCTGTGATGAACCTACATCTGGACTCGATTCTTTCATGTCCCAAAGTATTGTCTCTGTACTTAAAGCCATGGCAGAAGGCGGAAGAACTATCGTGTGCACCATTCATCAGCCTTCTTCAGAAGTATTCGAATTGTTCGATCATTTGTTTCTCATGGCGGAAGGCCGAGTGGCCTTCAGAGGAAGATCATCGAGGGCCCTAGATTTCTTTAAGAGGTAAGATATGAGAAGACACCTGTTGACTTTTTATGTAGACACTTTTTTTAAGAGGATTTGTTAACATTAGTAATTTGTGTATATGAAAGTTAAATTGCAGAAGTACGGTCCGACTTTGCTTACATAAAACTCACATAAGCTAGACTCGAAAGGTTAGATTTGGTGGACCTCATAATTTGGAACTTGCTCAGATAATAAGAATAGTATTTCAGTTGGTGTTTTACTCATTAGGGTATCCGACTACTTACGACAACTTTTCTTTTTTTTAAAAAAAAATGGAGGTATGGGGAATTTTTTGTTGTTGTTGTTTTTAGATTTGCTTATTGCATTTTAAGAAAAATATGCTAAAATTAAGAAGAGAAAAAGAAGTTATTACTACTAAAATGAGAAAAAATTGGTAAAAACTTACAAAAAATAACATAAACGCGACCCATTCAGTACCAAAAGTTTATGAACAAATTTTCAGTTTTTCAATTCTGATGTGTTTCTATGTTATTCATTTTTGAAATGACTTTCAGGATAAGAGATATTTTAGTTTTTACAAAAACTGGAATACTTTATCTTAGTTATTACATGAAATTGCTTACAAAAACAGTGATTATATTCACACAAGGGACTGTAAATTTTGTAATAAAACAGTGATTGATAAATCAGAAGGTTGAAACAGTTCTATTATTATACAGATCATACATGACATCTTGCTTAAAGCTTGACACCTTTTAGTAAAACTCTTGTAGTTTTTGTTCTAGAGAACGGAGAATAATAAGCTTGGCATTTTTATATAGCTAATAAGATGGCGTATAAAATAAAATCATAAAAAGAATTTGTCAATTTTTGGCTATCGAAACGAATTGGTACTTTATTCTTATCAAGTGATTTCTTTATAAGTTCGGTTTACATTCTGAATTCTAGTTAATCAGTAGTTTCTCCATTATTAGACTCGACAGTGTTTAGTGGGATTCATAGCGACCAGTGAGTCTGATCGTTAGCATTATGGCCAGTGGCATGCAAATGCAAATTTTAGTACCACTGAAATTATTGTACGCAATTATGGGGAACTTTCCATGATAAATTCAGTTGCGTCTCAAAGTTCTCGATTAACATAACGGGAGAGTCAAGAAAAGTTACTGGACTCTCTCTTTCTTATAATTCGATGAGAAGACCACGTTCTCATTGGATGATCTCTATACATAAATGAAAATATACAACTGCTACAGTTTCGATCAAGCTGTAAAATGACATTATTTCAAATCCAATCTATCCATGGGAGAACCAATTATCGAAATTGCAACCGTTTGTTATAGAGGCATGGTATTGGCACCCATGCAAATCGAGATAATAGGCCCTCCGTTCCTCGTTGTTTTTCGATAATCGATGCTTCGTATCTTGATTCTAATGATGCCTGGATAGAATAATGGATGTTAAATCTGGTGCACTAACATTTTTTTAATAGAAACACCAAATACCATTCATAATTGAATAGCTTTAAAAAACTATAATCCATATATAAGTAATTTAAGTTTTATTCATTTTCAGAAGCTTGGAGAATAAAATAATCATAAGGATATTGTCTGTTTTTCATGAATAAGAGTTTAAAAAAAATTCTGTATACAAAGTTTTTGATAATTTTACGTCATCTATATATATATTTATATATATGCAGTGGCGCACACATAAGGTGGGGGGGGGAGGTCCCGGGTCCGGAACCACCACCCAAAGCCCTTCGGCACCTTTTTTCGATTGATTATAATCCTATGTATATAGTACGTAAAAATCAATTTAGTATTTCTGATTGATAAATTATTTTATTAATTAATGGTAATTATTTATTCTATAATCAATTAATTACTGTTTTTTGTTCCCGAAAATCGGCAAAATCAAAAGAATATGATGTGAGGTGTATTGGATTGGAGCATGATATGAGAATGGTAGGCGTTCGACCCTGGACCCCCCCCCTAGAAAAATTCCTATGTATGCCACTGTGTTATATATATATATATATATATATATATAATCAGGTCTATCGGAAAGCTCTGTTCATTTTTAAAATAAAACAAAATAATACATTTTTCGTACCTTGAATAAATTTTATTGAATAATATAATTACCATCATTATTTCTGACTTTTTGCCATTGTGATGGCAATTTGTATATTCCATTTTAAAAAAATGTGTTATCCCCAGGTAAAATATTGAACTACATATCTACTAAGTCTGATATCTTCATTTGTGAAATTTTTGCCATGCAAAAATTTTTGTTAGGACAAAAACAAGTGATAATGGAGGGTGCTAGATCCGGAAAATATGCTGGATGCGACAGAATTTCTCCTAGGTTTGCTGTGCGAGTTTCTGAAGAGTCGTCGAATCAGGATATGACATGACATTATCAAGAAGCAATATGATGTCCTTCCAACTGAACATCGCCGGTCTATTTTCTTACAGTGATGTTTTTTAAATTATGCGGTTACTCTCCGAAATCAGCTTTGCGTTCAGTTTCAACGGTTCAAAATGTGTTTGTCCTCAATTGTCCCACCATATGTACAACATTCTTTTATTCAGACTCAACTTCGGCTTACAGGTTGAGAAGGGGCAAGTTTTCTGGGTTCACAATATATCCTTTTCCTTACAATATTTTTATAGGTAATCCCCTTTTCATTCCCAATTGTCATCCGGTCCAAGAAGGATTCTATTTTGTTTTGGGCATGCAGAGATGTATACATAATGTGTGTGTGTGTGACACAATCCTTCAAATTCTTCACACTTAACTTATGTGGCATCCATCTGGAATATTTCCACATAATCCTAGTTTCCGAAAATGGTCCAAAATGGTTGCTGAACTGAATGGAGCCTTTCCTCAGTCACCGATATTGTCAAAAGAAGATATTGTTCTAGGAAAGAGCACCTCTTATCAGAAAGGTTGAAGTTATCCGCTTGAAATTTTTCGAACGATCTTCTGCATATTCTATCAGAAACTATACTTTTACCAAACACTTTCAATGAATTTCTATACGGTTCCATAACATTTCTTCCTTGTTGTAATTCGTACAATATACAGTGGGAAAAAAAGAAATTTTATCAGTAACCATGGGTACATGAATCATCTTCATTTGAGTTCATTTGTTAAGTCAATATGTAGACATT